GAGAGCCCAGGGGTGTAAGTGACCCTCTCAGAAGCACAGAATTAATTGTCTGCAGATTTCAAGTAGAACCTAGACCTTCTGGCTTAAATATAAAATGCTTTTATTTGTGGTTTTATTTTAGATATTTTAGGTGGCTTTCTAGATTTATTTTCATAAAAATAATTATTCTCAAAATTCTTTCAAGTGAAATTTAACCAACATATTTTAGAAATGCATATTTCCTTTTCTTTGTGCTGTCAATCATTTAAAACTCATTGAAGTGTAATATCATATAACTCTAAAATTTGCAGTCCATTTTGTTATCCTGGGATAATTTCCTAAAGGCCAATGGATCAATTTCCTAAAGGCCAATGGATCAATTTCCTTAGGGCTTCTGCTAAGGAAGAAGCAAAATAAGGACAAGAACAAGGACATGCTTTTAGGAAATCTCTTTCATATCAAAAAGGTAATATTTTATTGTACAAAAAGCTGCTTCTGGGAAAGCCCTGCTACACAGTCCAAGCCTAACTACTTAATAAAATAAGAACAATTTACAAAACCAAATGAGGTAGGATTACATCATGTTCTATATGCAAAGATACTCAACTGATGGTGTCTAATAAACATATGGTTGCTTCAAATATGAGGGCTTTGAAGAAATTGAATTGACCACATAATTACACAATGACTACATATAATATATGCCATTCTAAGCATGTATGGTCTATGTGAAGCACTTTTATACAGTAAGGTAAAAGTTCACAGCTGTCAGCATTTATGGAATTTTCACTATGTAGGGCAAGTACCAGGGTGAAATACCAAATAAAACATAGATCCCATTCCTACAGGCTCCTAAGGATTCTGAACAAGCAATAACAAATGCAAAAAAAAAAAAAATCTTGTTCAAATTGAATATATCAGAAATGAACAGAGAACTGGGAAAGAGATGTGATTAATGGGTAAAGAATATCATAAAATAAACATTGTGAACAGAGTTTCAAAGGAGCATTCCACTGGAATGTAAGTTCTAAGATGGAAGAAACTGTTGTGTCCAGTGCCGTATCCTCAGCACATAGAATAGTGTCAGCACACTGCAAGGCCTCAGAAAATACCTGTTGAATGAAAAGAGCACTAGGGTCCCAAGAGGCACAAGGCAGACATGGTATAAGTAACTTGCGAAGGTCAGAGTAAGCATGTTTGCTTGGCCAGAACTGAAAATCCAAGCTAGGGAGTAGGAAGACATTAGCTTAGAAAATTGGAAAGGAAAGTTCAAAGCTGTTAATGGAAAATTTTCAAGAATCAGACATAAAACTTGTTACCTCCATGGGAGAAGGACCAAAAAAATATAAAGCCCCTGCCTGTAAGGAGCTCACACTGCAATTGTGGAAATGACATTGTTGTACACTGAACTACTAATAAAATGTAGAAAATAGAGTGCTAAATACTGTAGCTACCTTACTAGGGATTCCTTAAATAACTTCATTCCTTCATAATTAAAGACTTTTGTGGAATTACAGGGATTTGGACCCTGCAACATGGGGCATGGTAAGTAAAGATCGAGTTAGGAGGTTACTGGGAAAGTGTTAAAGTTTAAGAGGAAGAAAAGAGGTGTTCATAGAAAGGATGGAACTAATAGCTGTCTACCTAATAATTTTCCCTGTGACTATGTACACCCAGTGGATATTTAAGACAGATGAACAGAAGTAAGAAAGGCTTAACAATATATAAATATCATAACATACCACAACAGAGCATTGTCCACACCCACAACTTGAAGATGTTCCATAAGCCCCTCTGAGTACTCTGACATTTCCATGGAAATATCTGCAAATAAAATATGAAATTATAATTATATTTATACTCTTAAACCACAAGTTAATAGCACCTCAAGGTGGTGTTTATGACTTTCTTAAAATCCAAAATAAAACTCATATGTCTACTAACCTTGTCCAAGGTAATAGATTTCTCATGCATGGGTAAAAAATATGACTTCAAATTTACCTCAAAACTGGTGCATAGTTTTATTTTGCTTTCATGGTTTAGTCTCCCAAAATAAAACTCATATGTCTACTAACCTTGTCCAAGGTAATAGATTTCTCATGCATGGGTAAAAAAAATGACTTCAAATTTACCTCAAAACTGGTGCATAGTTTTATTTTGCTTTCATGGTTTAGTCTCAAGTTACCTATCATTATTACTCTGAATTTTTGCACCTGCTTTTCTGCTGAGCTATTAGATCAAACTGTTTGATATTTAGAAAAACTATTAGATAAATCAAACTATTTGATATTTATTTTATATTTTAAAAAGTGTTCTTGCTGCTCACTGAAGTCTTGCTGTTTAGATTTAATGTTATAACCTCACACTTGATCATAATGGGTCAATTCCTCCTATACTTAAAAAAATTAGATAACCAAACAGACACCAGGAAAGAAAGGCAGTTCATTTCTTCTTTTCAAATAGAAAGAAATACATTTATTTTTGAGCAACTGAAATGAGAAAACTACAGGGTTTTTTTGCGCACCTTAAAACCGTATTTCTAGGGCCGGCCCC